GGGGAGTCTGCGGCTGGTGCTGTGTATTAGCAATGCCTGGTAGTTAAGCACAGGAGTCACCATGCTTCGCTGTTCAAGAACAAGGGCTTATTTAAAAAGAAGAGAGGGGGGAAAAAATAATCCACAGATGGACCCTGTTTTTTGTGCTGTTACAGCCTGAGTCGAAGTTTTATTAAAGATTTCCATTCGGCAGAACCATCTAATAAATCTTACTGGTTAACAGTCAGAGGAGGAGGAAGAAAATGCTTTTCTGGTGTCTGTTGGGAATTGCTGGTACTAAATTAGCTGCTCTGGAATTATTGCTGGCACCATCACGCTGCCGCTGTTGCCCCGTGGAGGCTCTCTGTAGCACTCGCCTGTTTGCACGCTGCCTGCATCCTAAACAAGCAGAATATGGAATTTTTAATCATGCACAGCAACGCGCTTGGTATTCTTTTTGCTTGTGGAAAAACAAACCCTTGAAGGGCATTGCGGGAAGGGAAAGTGCCCGCCTGTAAAGGGAGGGCCCTCCAGCGCTGGAGGAGAGGGATGAATTCGTAAATCTTTCTGGAGGGAGGTGTCCAGCAGAGCACGGTGTGATCACCTCAGCTCTGCATCCCTGTTGGCTGCCGTCTGCCGTCACCGCCTCCAAAGATCCCGCAAACCTGGAGCTGCCAAGCTGAGATGGGGTCCGTGTGGCAAACAGGACACGCTTGCCTGATGTTTGGGAAATGTCAAATATGTCCCTCACCCTCACACATTGCGTGGCAGATGTTCAAGACCTGCAAGTGAACTCTTGGTGAATTTTACAATGCTTCAGGGATATTATCGCTCTTTGTCTGCTGGACACCACCCCTCAAAGGGTTAATTCTAGGTCAACACGAATTTCTTATTGACTTCCATCAGACTGGGCTTAATCTGAAAATGATGGTCAATTTGCTCTTCTGTTGATTGTGAGCTGGAGACCTGAACCATTTCTTTTTAATTTTTCATTAAAAGTAATTTAACTTGATATTAAAACCATTTGAATGGACCTTAAATTTTGCACATGTGGGGAACATCACACGCTTTTCTTCTCCCTGTGCTCGAAGCCGTCATGCTCCCTAGTCACCAACGTGTAGAAACAGTGCGGATAGAAATAAAAGTGATGCGGTCAAGATTTTTCCCAGCAAATTCAGTATCGAGTGATTCCTGGTGAGAAGAGATCGATAGCATGCAGTTAATTTTTAAGTTGTTTATGTTGCTGCTTTTAAACCATGTTCTTTGTGATCCATGCTAATGAGTGGAATGAGGAATTTATAGATTCATAGACTAAGGTCAGAAGGGATCTCTGTGCTTAGTTAATCTGAGCTGGTGTATACACAGGCCATGGACTTTTCCCCAGGCAGCATCTCTCTTGGAAACGTATCTAATCTCCACTTAAAAACAGTGAGCGTTGGTGAGCTCGCCCCTCCCTCGCTGGTGCGCTGTTTAATTATCGCTGCTGTTGGGAAAGTGCCTCACTTCAAGGCTGAGATGTGTAACTTGATTTTCGAGCCCTCCTAACCTGCTACGCCTTTGTCTGCGAGACTGAAAGCTTTTCCACTTGCTCCCAGTGATGGAGTCACCTCTCAGCTTTTCTTTGATACACTCCTTAAATTTCATGTCAAAGATTTGATTTGCAACCCGGGTCGTTTTTGCTGCTTCCCTTTGAACTTCTGCTGATATTTCCACATGTTGATGCGTGGGCCCAAGACCTGCGTTCACCTTGCCAGCGCCGTACGCAGCAGCGCTCCCTCTTCCCAGCTTCAACTTGTTTTCGTTTCGGTGTTGTGGCTCATATTATATATCCAATATCGCATTGACCTTTCATCCACTGCATTGCGATGAGAGCTCGTGTTGTGTAGCTCTGAGCAGGCTCCTCTGTGTCCTCCTCCGAGTGCCTGACTCGTGGAGGGGAGCAGGGCTGTGCTGCAGGTACAGCCCACAATTGTGCTTCCTCCATGTATTACTTTGCATTTAAAATGCCGCTGCTGCTAGCTCGTCTGGCTGAGACATGCAGATAACTGGCTGGAATAGCTCCTTCTGCAACATTTTTTTAGCCACCAAGTGTTACACCACCTGCAACCTTTACCGGGGGACGTTTTCTATTACCTGGATTGTTGGTAGATATGTTAAATAGCATGGAAGAAGAATTGCGACTGGCGGCCGTGCTCAATGATATCTTCTCATTAACAACTACATTTTGAGATCTGTCAGTGAAGCAGATTTAATCTCTCTAATGTGTGCCTTGTTAATTCCATATAATACCAGCCAAATACCTTGGAGAAATCGCAGTACAGTATAGCATCACAGTTGTCTTTAGCAGCCAGGCGTGTTTTATTAAAAACCAAAACAAAGAACTCAATTTCCCCCCAAAAAAGCAAAAGACAACAAGCTGGCTTAACAAGACTCATTTTCCAGGAAGGCACATTGACTGCTGTTCATTATGTTATTAGTATCTAGTTATTTGTTGATGAAATCCCAAATTAAGCACTCTGGTATTTTGCAGAGGACCAACATCAGGCTAAGTGGTCTCACTTAGCCTGACGTTGGTACTTTGCAAAATTAATTGCTACGCTGCAATTCTCCCCTTCACCTTTTCAAAATACGGAAACACTTTGGAATGCCCTGAACCATCCTGAACCGTAAGAGTTATTAAAAATCAACAGTAGTGATTCAATCAGCTTCTCAGTGAAGTCTCTAAAGACACCTGCATCTAAGACCGCCGGGTTTCCTGATTTGAGAACTTAATTTCTGACCTTTTTCATTCACATCTTTCCTTGCTGACAACAGTGACCGCTTTTGGTTCCTCACAGCAGAATATGGAACCAAACCTTCTTGCTTCCTTCCCAATATAGATGAGAAATATCCGTCCGATAGATCCGTGCTACGCTACTACCTCATCAGCCTCATCAGAAACGGTTTTATAACTGATGAAAATTATAAATTTGATCCCAAGAAGTTTAAAGTACCTTTCTTTTTACTCCCATTAGTACTTCACTTGTTCCCTCGGCCTCCTGTAGCAGCAGCCACTTTTTAACCTATTTGTTACTGCTAACCTCCCATTTTCCCTCTTTCCATACATACTGTTTTATTTAGGTTTTGTCATAGATTTTACATTTCCTTTTGGCTGAAATATTTTCCCTAGCACATTTAAGAGTTTTTGAAATTGTGCCTTTTTTGGCATCCAGTTGGGATGTACTGAACTATTCCTTTTTTCAGTGACTATCTCACTATAACTGTAGGTTTCCAGTCCACTGTTGTTTTAGGCTTTGGAAAAAAATATTAATTTAAAAGTTTGATGTTGCTTTTTACTGATAGGTGTCATATTCTATTTAAGCAAGTTTATTACAGTGCCTAGGCACCATCAGCTAATAGTTAGGTCACCAGTTTACTCTCCTTGGTCCATCACAAGGTCTCCCACTGGATTCCCTCTGCAGGGCGCAGAGCAAAGCATTCCTTCATGTTAGAAACCCTGGGAATTTTTCAGGTGAGATGATCAGCCAACATCCCCTAGTTGAAATCACCCAAGCAATTTCTCTTCTAGCATGTTCCAGATACTTAATTAACAGATTTTTGTTATGTTTTACATAGAGAAATTCAAAGAGCAGTTCATCCCTCTCTATGGGATGATACAGGAATGTATCAAATGTGTAAGTCCCTCGCATTCCATTTTACTGGTTAGGGCTCTAATCCCAAGCTGCATCGTATTCTTTATTTCTGGCTTTCAGAAGAAAAATATCATTATCAGCTGCCTAAGCACTGCAGGCTTCGCCTCCTGCTAAAGCAGAGGGACAAGGAAGACTTGACCTCAGCTCGGGACACACACGACCACAGACGTCTGAGATGGAGCTGGCTGCTCCGATCCCTTTACTTACAACAAAACAGGCTTCAGCAGCCAAGGGAAGGTGCTCCCTAAATTAATAAAAGGGGGAAAAATGGACAAAACCAGATAAAACAGCAAAAAACAAAGAAACTGAGCACGCTTACTTAAAAAGGAATTTCCTCATCTCCACTAAAGTGGAAGGTTTTTCAACTGTAGGATGGGGGCTAGGGACACCCCTGGGGCAAGGAGCAGGGCTGCTGGCTGAACATTTGGGAGATACGGGTCCATTGTGGGCCCAGCTGCTGCCCCATCGATGCCATCGCTCCCATCCTGGCTGGTGTTTCACTCAGGTGCTCGCCTGGCACAACACAACCCCTCTGTCCTGATTTTGCTCAGTGCCTCCAGATGCTGCTGCATCAGACATGGATAACAAACCCACCCAGCACCCGCCGCCGCCCACCGCAGTGTTTGTGGTCCAGCGATGGCTTTTCCCCGTGAAACCAATAGCTCGGCCAGTCCCCAGCACGGGGATCGACTCTGCAAGGGGCTGGCGCTGTACAAAGCCTGAAACGAGCCCGTCTTTCTGTAACAGCCACATAACACTTTTTTAAAAGGCCTTTAAGTTCTGCCAGTACCTGTGATGGGTGCCAAGTTTTATTTTTGTCAGCCAATTTGGGAAGTTTGTTAAACCTGTGAACGGGATGGGGGAAGCGAGCCCAAAAAGCAATCAAAAGCACGTAATAAATAATAATTAATATCACTGTGTGGTGCTTACTCAGTACTTTTTGCCCTTTCAAGGATCTTTTAGCTAGTCAGCAAAAACATGTTCCACGTTACGGTGCTCTCTCCTATGGCACGTATTTATCATCCTCCGGTTACACATAGCCAACTGAGGAGAACAGCGTTCCTGTAGTCACTGGAGGAGCCCAACACACGTCCATCCCCACAACCCATCGCGCCTGAACGTGAGGAGACACGTGAACCATGGTAGGGTCCTGGCTGTGCACTTTGGGAAATGCTGTGTCCCTGAACACGTACAAAAAATTGATGAGGAAAAACCCCAGATTCTACACACCTCCCTCCCCCTCTCCCCTTCACTCTTAGGTTGTATTAGCTTATTTATCAGCAGAAAATGTTAAGGCACCAGTAATTCAGTTTTAATGGTTTTTCTCACCTGCAGAACTGCCTGGAGTGGTTCATGTTGGGACCTGCTTTAATATTGCCTTTCTCTGGGTCATAGATGGTGGTTGCTCGTGCATAAGCTCCTCCAAGAATAAAGATGAACCCATTGAGAGTGACTGCAGGAGCATATTTGTTATCTGTCAATGGAAAGCAACACTGAGATCAGTTTTAGGCTCAGGTTTGGAGACTGGTTTTTTATTTATACATTCCCCTTATTTATAGATAGGTCACGTTTCTCTAAACCTCCAAGGCTAAGGAAAGAAAAATGAGGAAACCTTTCCTGGTTTTGTTCTTCTCTCTCCAAGTTCTCAAAGGCACTTTTAAAGTTCATCAGTCCTTCATCCCCCAGTACGCGCCTCCCTCTAAACTGGTAAAGTGCAATTATCCTCTCCCGAAGCCTAATGGAGTCACTGTGAAAGCTCCACTCTTACACATGAAATTAAGATGTCAAGTTGTTTCAGAATTTTGAATTGCTGCAAATTTTAACTCAGATGCGTCCCATGCCTGTGCAGCAGCTATGTACAGAAGAAACCCACAGTGCAGAGACCTGCTTAATAATATCCAGTAGTTGATTCTCTTTTGTATTCTGCTTTTGCTTGTGGGAAGGTCACCCACATAATCCACAAGATTTTCTGAGACCCCATTTATTTTCCCGTTCATCTGTCTCATAAATTCACCTGCTTTTTCACTTTCAGATGTGTGCGTACCTCCAAGCAGTCCTGTATTTTGGCAACGAACTGTGTGAGGTTGGAGTTTGAAATTGTGCAAGTCTCTTCTCCTAAGTCAAGTTTGATTGGACATTCCAAGGATGCTTTAGAATTCTTGTGTTAGCTGCGGCATTATTAGAGATATTGGTAAAACTAACCACAAATTATCGAATAAAATAATTCTAATTTAATTAGTTGAATTGCCCCGTATGCTGCTAGCACACCATATGCACATTATTAAATATGAGCCAGTTGGGCTGAAATTTCTCACGATGGTGTCTGTCTTGATGCAATACATTTTTTTTTAATCAACATTTCAGTGAAACCAATCGGCAATGTCTGGGAACAAAAGACAGGAAAATACACTGCTTTATTTGAGTTAAAATAAACCTCGCAACCAGTTCTCTAAGGAGCACGAGCCTAAGCCCTTTGGGGCATGAAGCAGACCTTTCCTGGATGGCTACCCTGGTGTGAGGGGACACTTCTATAAAAATTAACGGTATCTAGCTATATGTTAAAAGCTTCTCCAAAAATCTGCATTTTTCTATGCTCAGAAAAGGGTGATCCTCTTGCATCTCTAGTGGACAATCAGCCTGGACACAGTCCTGCTGCCTTCAGCCCCTGCAACCCTCCTCCCGAGTGCGGGGAGTCAGGGCTGCATGCTGCAGAGGTGCGATATCATCTTTACTGTGCTCTTCCATCTCTGATAACGGCCTCTACATAACATTGAAGGGGTCTTTATGTTCCTCCCAGACCTACGACTGTGTCCTTTTAGGAACACAGAAAGAGATGGGCTTAAATTAGCCCCAGCAGCTTTACTTTTAGCATTTGCTTACCTCTTGCATGGCTGGTGTTGTAACTCTGAAGTTCTTGTAAAACCACCTTATTCCACGAAATATTTAACATGAGATTTAATTTGACATGAATTAAGCAAAAGCTGATGTATTCCTCCAGAAGAGAGGTAATTTCCTTAACTGGGGTTTGAATTGGTAAACTAGAAGGAAAATAATGAGTTTGTGGTGTCTGCTTCTGTTCCACCCTGACCATGGGATGAGTCTGGCTCAGTTCATCTCACCCTATGTCGGGGCATGGCCAGGGGGATGTATGGGGGTGCAGCACCCAGTGTGAAAACAGACAACACATGTTATGGGTTAAAGCTGGGCTTCTATTATGCTGAGTATCTACAGGCATATGTCAAAAAACCACGGATGTATTAGGAAAATGTCACTGATCCTTGGGAACAGATGGGAAGAAACTAATTCATCCAGAAAATAGAACAAGGAGTATTCAGTTTCTTCTCGGTGCCACTAAGCCACTATAATTCATCAGAAAGACTTATCTGTCCTAACAACCCGTCTCACATCCCTTTCCAAATCAGACTTGCATATGTGACATTTTTTCCAGTTGACACTCATCAGAAATTTTCCTTATTTAATTATCACATCTTCTTGTTTTTTTTTTTTTCCTTCCACTGGCACTGTTTTGCAGAAGAATGATACTCTTTTGCATAAAAAAAAAAAACCCTCAGCTCCCAAATCTCACAAGGAAATTATTTGGGGCTCCCTCAAGGCAGAAACAGCGACGTCTCAGGAGACTGAATCACTGACTTCACATTCCTTTTTGTTAAAGAAAGAGGAGGAAACCCCTTGGTTATTTTTATAGTGACTTTCTTTTTTCTTTTCAAATAGGCAGACAGTCCGATACTCTTTTTCTTTCTTTATTTTAAGAGGCAATCATGTTTGATTCTCATCAATTTTTCAATACATCACCTATCTGCTGTCTTTTTACTGCTTTTGGCTTTTGCTACAATGTCATAAATTGGTATAAAGTAAGCCTGAGATAGATAGAGAAACTGAGAAATCTCTGCTGTTTCTTTCAGGAAGGGAGAAGTTCACAGTAAACAGTCTCCTGATCCTGATGAAGATATGGCTCAAAGACACAAGGGACACCCCTCCAGAGACAGGTAGAGAGAAAACTGTGTGTTTTGGTTTTGTTTTGTTACCATGGAGGCAGAAATTGTTCACAGATACAGGGAGCTTGGAAAACTCAAGCTGTC